AAGTATGACGCTTGGATAAAGGATAACTTCGCACCAAAAGTCGAAGAATTGGCCTCCTTTTCCCTTACCGACGATGAATTCCTCATCGAATACTCCCAGGACGCCACCACAGTACGCCTGATAGAGAATTTGGATCTGGACACTCCCCTCACCCGCGACGGTACATCGGCCTTTGAAACCAAGAAAATGGCAAAACCCCCCTCACTTCCTGAATACCTGAAGACTAGCAATAAGTCCCAGGAATTAGCCATGGAAGGTGAGATCGAGAAAAAGAAGAAGACTTTCGAGGAATTAGTCCCTTCTTACCTTCACGACTTCACCGACCTTTTTGCCAAAGACGGTCTTAACTCTATGCCACCTCACCAACCCGGTATTGACCACAGGATTGACACCAAACCCGGATACATCCCCAAATCCTCCAAGCTCTACCCCTTATCTGAGAAAGAAAGGGTTGCGGTCAAAGCATTTATTGATGAACATGTAAAAAAGGAATTCATCTCCCCCTCGAAATCCCCTCAGTCAAGCGGCTTCTTCTTCGTTGGAAAGAAAGACGGATCCTTACGGCCTTGTCAAGACTACCGGTACATTAATGAATGGACAATCAAGAACGCATACCCCCTTCCCCTCATTCCACCACTCTTAGCGAAACTTCGCGACGCAAAGTACTTCACCAAGATGGATGTCCGTTCCGGATATAACAATATTCGGATCCACCCTGAAGATAGATGGAAGGCAGCATTTACAACTGAATTCGGACTCTTTGAGCCGAATGTCATGTTCTTTGGTCTTTGCAATTCACCCGGTACTTTCCAGGCCTATATGAACCAAACGTTCCAACAGGAACTGAACGAAGGATGGCTCATCGTCTACATGGATGACATCCTGATATTTTCGAAAAACCTAGAAGAACACCACGAAGCGAACCCGCCGGATATTGGATATCCTTAGAAAAGAGAAATTGTTCTTGAAAGCGGAAAAATGCCTGTTCGACGTACAAGAGGTCGACTACCTCGGAATGATCATTAGGCCCGGACAAATCGCGATGGACCCCACTAAACTCAAAGGCATCGCAGATTGGCCGACACCGAAAACCGTCACTGACGTACGATCTTTCCTCAGATTCTGCAATTTCTATCGGCATTTCATCCCGCACTTTTCTGACATCGCGAAACCCCTGAACAATTTGACGAAGAAAACCCAGCCATTCTGCTGGACTGAAGTAGAAGAAAACAGCTTCCAAGCACTTAGAAAATGCTTTATGACGGAACCTGTCTTAAGAAACCCCGACCCCGCAAAGCAATTCGCTATCGCAACGGACGCCTCCCTAGTAGCAACTGGAGCAGTGCTACTACAGACCGATGAAAACGGCGCTTACCACCCCTGCGCCTATCTTTCTGCATCTCTTAATGCAGCGGAACGGAACTATCAGATTTATGATAGAGAACTACTGGCCGTCATCTGTGTTTTGACAGCATGGAGACATTATCTCGAAGGACACGGTCACCCCGTCATTGTATTCACAGATCATATGAACCTCCTCTATTTTAGATCTGCTCAACAACTGACCCGTCGCCAAGCACGCTGGCAGCTTACTCTGAATGAATTCGATCTCGAATTTCATCATGTAGCTGGAACTAAGCTCGCTGCCCCTGACGCTTTATCCCGCCGTCCCGACCACCATCCCACCGAAACCGATAACCAGGACGTTATCTTATTACCTGATGATATGTTTGTCCGTCTCATCGACATCGAACTAGAAGCAGCTCTGAAATCCGATGATCCTACGGCGGATCCCATCATCAAGACCGCCAGTGACGCACTAGATGGGCTATGTTTGCCCCCTATGAAGTCGGCATTATCCGACTGGAAATTCGACAACGGTATCTTGAAGTACAAGAACTGTGCCTATGCACCCCCCGCTACCCGAAGTCGCATCCTGCAGCTTCACCATGATCACCCGACCGCCGGACACCCCGGCAGATTTAAAACAGAAGAATTAGTCAAACGTGACTATTGGTGGCCCCAGATGGGCACCTTTATTAGAAAATATGTCGAAGGATGTGCCACGTGTCAGCAGATGAAATCTGACACTCACCCCACTACTCCCCCCTTGAAACCGATCAGCTCTTCCGGTGTACGCCCCTTTTCCCAGCTCTCCGTTGATCTAATCACCGACCTCCCCGAGAGCGGTGGTTATGATTCTATGATGGTCGTGGTAGACCACGGACTTACAAAGGGGGTAATTATTTCACCTTGCAAGAAGAACATCACCTCCGAAGGAGTAGCGCAACTATTTTTCAAGAAAGTTTTCCTACGCTTTGGGCTCCACGACAAGCTCATTTCAGATCGCGGACCGCAATTCGCATCGAAGTTCTCCAAAGAACTCGGAAGATTACTAGACTATGAAGTTGCCCTATCTACCGCATATCACCCACAGACAGACAGACAGACAGAAAGATTGAACCAGGAGATCGAGACTTATCTTCGGATCTACTGCCGATCGAACCCTGAAACCTGGGTACAGCATCTACCTATGGCAGAATTTGTACACAACCACCGAAAACACGATGCACGGAATGCATCACCATTTTTCCTGATGATGGGCTATGAGCCTAGAGGCATCCCCTACGCCTTTCCCCCTACCGACATCCCCGCGGCCAAGGACCGCATTACCAACCTCCAGAAAATGAGAGAAGAAGCGGTGTCTTGCCACAACATCGCTATGCAACGAATGGCCGAAAGGACGCATAGGAAGAAGTATGAACCATGGAAGATTGGAGATAAGGTCTGGTTGTCAGCAGAGCACTTATTGACGCACCTACCCTCGAAGAAGCTGGCGCCAAAGCGGCACGGCCCCTTTACCATTACCAAGGTGCTATCTCCCATCACCTTCACACTCCAGCTCCCGGAACAATGGAAAGTCCACCCCACGTTCCATGCATCCGAGCTATCCTCCTATCGGGAAACAGAAGTCCACGGCCCGAATTTCATCGAACCCTCACCTGACATTATCAATGGGGTTGAGGAGTACGAAGTAGAAGCGATCCTCGCACACAAAGGAACAGCGGCACGCCGTCGCTATCTAGTATCCTGGAAAGGATACTCATCAGCCAGCAACGAATGGGTCAAAGAAGATGACCTAGAAAATTCCCAGACTCTTCTCAAAGCGTATAAGAAGAGAACGAAACTTGCTTGAAGGACAGCAAACCCAAGCAACCCCAGTCAAAGAAAAACATGTCCACTGCCCCCTCCACTCTTACCCTCGATTCCGCCGAACTCCAGGACCAATTCGTCCCTATCTCCCAGACCGAACGATTCGTATTAGATGAACATTCCTCCCTTGCATCCTCCGTCTCCGACCCCTCATCGTCAGAGGATACCGACGTATCACTTTCGTCCTCTTTATATTTCACCGTCATTGATCGTATTGAGGGAGACGCCCTCTTTGAAGCAACGCTATTATCAGAGCAACACGCACTCGAGCTGGAGAGAAAGCTCGCCGAACGCCCAGCAAGAAGCGCAGCAATAATTGCCTGCCATCATTAACATCATCAGGACCACCCGCCTGATTGAACTATCTGCAAACCGAATCCCCTCTCGCATCCGCACAAGAAGCACATGAAGTCATCCAGTGCCAGAGGCGCATCAGATCGATTGCGCTTCAGCTTCTCCCTGATAGCCTTAAGCCTGACTTGCTATCAGTTGTACACCTCATTGCCAACCGAACCGCGACTGAAGTCGCTCGTCCGCCTTCTCCTCCTCGTCCTCTCTCCCGTCATCAGTCACCAGATCGTAACTCGCCTCCACTTCCGGTCAGGGCACCGCAACCACAGGTTGCTTCCAGAGGAAGGAGACCTACCGGATACCAGATCGCTCGAAGGCGGTGTATAAGAGAAGATAAGAAGAAAGAAAGAGAGGTCATTGACCTTACATCCCCTTCCCCACCCCCTCGCATTTCTACAAAGAAACCCGGCTTTGACAACGTAAAATGTCGCATCTGTAAAGAATATGGGCATCGCCACAAGAATTGCCCTCAGTACTCTTGCGTGGTATGTCATGCCATCGCCCCAGGACACCTCTCGGTCTACTGCAAAGACCTCAGAGGAACCTACCCTCTTCCAATTGTCTATACAGATGACGGATTCTACGAAGCCCTCCGTAATTGGGAGGCAGACCAGAAAGCATTCTATGAGCAAGAATGCGAACAAGCCGATGAAGACTATCGCAACCAGCCAAGCTCCTCAACGGACCTTGATGACTTTAACAACGCCGAGGCAGACCCCGTCTATTACGACGATGCTAGGATGGATTGATTGAAGTCGGAGACTTCAACGGTTACACTGGGGTAATGTTACAATAACATTTACTCCTATTACATTTTTCTTTTCTTGTAACCATGCCGCCGACTCTAGACTCATCTAGACTCGGCTATTCTCTTATCAAGCGGGCTGTCCGCACTTATCTTCTTTTTGATTGTAACATAGATACTATCTTGCGCCGCATGGCGGTTTCACCTATCTTTGCTATCCTGATAGGTTGTACTCTTTTTCCTATCTCTGTTACTTTTCTTGTCGCGGCTACGCCGCTTCCGTTTACCTATATAAACCCTCTGTACCATAGATGTATTCCTTAACTTAATCTACTGGGTTTTCCCCTTGAATCCTGATCTACTAAGGTCTCCACCCTTAGTAGCCTGAACTCTGATTCTAAGACAGTCACTCACTGTCTTAGCCTGAAACCCTTGATTGCGGTAGAAGTGCTAAAACCACTCACCGCTGATCCTGCATAGAAGCCGCGGCTCGTGCAGTAGGAACCACCAGAAACCTTCCTTGTATTAGGAAGGCCGACGAACTGTTTGCCCGACAGATCTATCTTGATCGGCAACAGCAGAACTATCCCAGTCGTAACAAAGGGAAGAGAACTGGTGCAAACTTTGTGTATGCATCTTGAGGGTTAAGGAGTAAGGTGCGACATGCAGGCTCCAAATCCCGTGCATACCCTCATATGAAGAACTTTGCATCGAGATTGAAAATGGCAGCTGTGCACGACTTGACATCAGAAACCATTTCGGCACGAACACTATTGATGCCTTTGACAAACTCAAAAGACAATTAGCAGGAGTGATTTATGATTCATACACTGATGTACTACTTACATGGCAACTGAAGTTCTTATGGGCCATCATGTTGTGGTCTGCTGGAAGAATAAAAAGAAAGATTTCGGCTTTAACGCCATCCTGTATTGACATTGGAGAGAGCCACCGCTCTTTGCTTGTGAGATCGATCCTAGGAGGTGGCGCATGCAAGGGGAAAATGATGGTATCGACCCAGAGGCAGTGTGTTACAGAAAACTTGTGTCCATAGTTCTTGATGGTATCTTCCTTGGCAGCGAGTGCGAGGTCCTTGTTGGTGAGCTTTGTCTTCCGACCTTTAGAAAGTGTAGCCTCAAGGAGAGCGTTCTTCTTCAGAGCCTCCCAATACTTTCCTCACATATCTAGAAGTAGCCTTTGTGCAAGTTCAAGTGCCTATTAATAGAGATGATTGATCAGCTGCTGTCATTCATTCACAACATAAAGATTTGCCTTGCAAAGATCTTCAGCTGATGCATTGAGAGGAGGTGCTGCAATTGTGGTACGAACGTGCAATAAATCTGAATCGTTGTTGGACTGGTCACTGTCTGAATCTGTCGAGTCAGCAGCGGAGCTGCTATCCATATTCTGAATATCTTGAGTAAAGTCTTTACCTTGGGCATTCTGAGGCATGGCAGTTTAGAGAATGTAATGAAGAGCAAGCTGGGAACATCTGAATTAGTCAGACACACTTTAAATCAGCACTGTTTGGGTAGTGTCAGACCCTGTTGATGTAATAAGATGGTAGCAAAACATGTACCCTTATCAGAAACATAATATAACTATCGTGTATCCACTTCGAAGCAATGATTAATGAACAAACCGGCCTCGTACTTCTAAGATCCTTGCGCCATTGTGATGAAACAGGAGAATGAGGGTGGCAGGTGTCTGGAGTATGTGGTATTAAAAGGCATGTTCAATAGGCAAGATTGAGAGTAGTGACAGATGCATGGAATTTGATGTGGTGAAGAGCATGGATAAGCAAGTAGCTGCTCCAGGATTTGTTGGGGTAAGTGTCATCACAAATGACCTTTGATGCGAGCATAAATGCAGATACAAACAGATGGTGACCCGAAGATGCCCAAGCAGTGGGAGCAGCAAAATTGATGGAGGTCTGGAGTTTTGTGTAGGGAAGGGCAACACAGCAAAATGCAGATACAAACAGATGGTGACTGTGTCATCACAAATGACCTTTGACACTGAAGGTTCAACAATTCAGATGGTTAGTCTGAACAATGTTGGGTCTTGTTCGACCCTAAAGAGTTTCTGTACTGAGCTCAAAGCTCAGAGAGAGAGGAAAACTAATAAGACTCTGACTGGTGGTGGAAACTGGTGAAAAGGTAACTTGATTATGTAAGCTACAAAATAGCAAACATAAGGTAAAGACAGTATCTACAAGCCTAGTCAGGAATGAGTCTCTACAACACGAGCATAAATGCGGATACGAACAGATGGTGACCCGAAGATGCCCAAGTGGTGGGAGCAGCAAAATTGATGGAGGTCTGGAGTTTTGTGCGGGGAAGGGCAATACAACAAAATGAGGAAGCTTTGCTCGTCAGTGGGAGTTGGATGGAGGTGGAGGTAATACCAGGTGCACAATGTTGGCATAGACAATGGAATAGGGGAGCTTATTTGCCAATGGGGTATTACTCTGGACAAGCAAAGAGATGGGCGATGAGCTGGACGCACAACAATTAGCATATGCAATGAAATGAGGGTGCTTACTTGGGGATGAAGGATGCTCTGGGCGAGCAAACAGACTGTGTCCAACACTGATTTGTTGAAGTAAGTGTCATCACAGATGACCTTTGATGTGAGCATGAAAGCGGATGTCAGTGACCCAAATATCTCTGAGTTGCGAGTAAGGGCGTGTTTGATTTCTGGAGAAGGACTTGAGCTGCAGTGAAAGTGGCGAACAATTTAAAGTATAAGGAGCAGGAGGGAATGATAAGTTAGATAAGTTTCCTTTGGATGCGAAGAAACATGTCGGTATCAGTATAGTCAACAAGAAAATAATCCCCATTGTTGTCAAAATCTGGGACAAGTAAAGCACCACGAATAATTGAATGAAGAGTGATGAATTCAGATGAAGCTGCAGGCCGTGCATGCAGATGAGTGAGTTGCAGGTCTCAATCTAGGAGGCGCCGACATGGTGAAGCATCCATGGGAAGAACCAAAGCGAGATCTAAGGTGCAGTTGCCAACAATGTGCTTGAACATGAATAATAATTTGACAAAGATATTTTTATCTCAGCCATCCTTGTCCTGCATGCGGATTAGAACGCAGTCATGATGCTCATGGCCATGAAAACTTGGACTGCATCACAGATAGTCAGTGGTTAACTTCCAGGTAATGGTCGACTCATATTGGACTTTGAGATAGCGATGTTCATGTATCTTTTGAAAAAAATGCAGTGTCAGAGATTCGATTAAAACTTCAGAATGAAGGAAACTCACCAGGTCTTGCACTGGAAGTTTCAACCGCATCACTCCATCTGGTAATGGTATATGGTGGGAGGGTAGGAAGTGATTCAAAAATGTCATGAGCTTCTTCCTGAAGTGGTCGAAGGCACGATTTGACCTGTGTTCTTCCTCTACCTGTGCTAAGCTGGTAAGACTCCTCAATGGCGAACTGGTATGCAGGTAAGCTTCAAATAACTTGTTGTTATTATTGTCTTCTTTGAGTTCTTCCCATGAGAGTGTAAGTTTGTGTTGTTCCTCATCAAGATAGTTGATACAGCTGCGAATGAATTCGGAAACAAAGCTCTTATGAGAGAGTACAACAATCTATGGTATACACAAAGTTTAAGTTATTGATGGGAAGCAAACTTCCAGAGTAGGCGATGTCATACCTGGTTAGCGATGTCCTTACGATTAGTCTGCCATAGATACCAATGCCTGATTGGTCCATGCTGCTTCTCGTTCGGTCGAGTACTGAAGTTGTGAGCGGCACCTTTTGCTATGATGTCGTCAAATATGTGCTTTGAGGCATGCATTTTGGGGAAATTCCAGTTCTTGATTGCATCTGGATCAGTCTCATTAATGATTGTGATGTATTCCTATGATATAACGCTATTGTCAGTACACTACATTGACAGGAGACATGGAATCAACACAACATACAAAACCTCGGCTTTTCCTGCTTCGATTGTGCTCTCTGTGTGCACATCAAGAGATATGTACATGTTGATATGGAGATAACTTGCTATGCACCATAAAAGTGCATAGCCAGCTTCATCATCTGTGCGTGTCAGTACATTCTGGGTGGTATATAAAATTTGCTATCAAAATCAAATTCAAGTGGTCTGTCGATGTCAAATCAACATGTTGTACCTTAGAAATGTCCCTAAGTTTATTACCATCACTGTAGGTAATGTTAGTAACTCAATCGAAATGATTCAAATTGCGCCATCATGTGAAGGCAGCGAATCTATGGGCAATTGAATAGTCGGATTCAGATGGAGCAGATTAGTACAATAAATCAACTCACTGGTCATCAATCTTTTTCTCAGCACCGCGCCCCAGAGCCGCTGCATGTCGTTTAAGCTCACCAAATAAATGTTTCCCCCATTCCCCTAAATGATACATATGAAGGTGGTCCTGTAAGATCATTTTGTGTGGGTTGGAATTTGGGAGCCGCCAAAAGACATTCTACAACAGAGAAAGTCAGATTCAATCAAGGATATATAATAATGAGTACCAACCATAACTGGCCAAAGGCCCCGTTTTTTCAATGCCTCTTCTCCAGCTGTTTTGTTCTGGTTCCATAGTTCTATGCAAGCTTGCGTGTCTTCAGGCGTTTGGATTGGATAAGTAGAAGCATTGTCATACAGCTTATCAGATGGTACAAGGCAAATAGGACATGGGCAATGACAATTAGTGCCCCGTATCAGTGCCATGACATATCTATTGTTTAAGACCAATCAGAAATTTGTCTACAGAAATTAGTATACAATGTACTGTTCCTCATAGTCAGCAGATAAGAGTAAAATGAACACATACAACCACCTGACGATACCATCATAACAGAGATGCGTATACCCTGTCTTGGCGTGGAGTATGATGGTTTTGAGTAGCTTGAAAAACCCTTCATGCCATACAACATGTTTGAGGTTCATGTACAACAGCTTGCTGTCCTCTTCAGAATCTTCAGGAACCTGCATGAAAGAAACTCAGGAGTAACGAGACTGGTTTCAGTTCCTAAATTTAAAGACATACTATTGGTAACCAACTGACCATCTGCCCACCACCAAACCTGTCAGTGTTTCTGATGTGAATGGGCAAGTTTCCACAATGAGTGAAGACCAGATAAGCTTTGACTGTACCAGTGGAAGAAAGGTGCGTCTTGTCTGCATACAGAATAAATGCGAAAGGGACGGCATTTTCAGGTAAAGACGACTGTGATACATGCAAGAAAGGGCATTGCTTAACAGAACCATAAGAATGATAGTACAAAAAATAAGTCATACTTGGACATTCCACCAACGATCCACAGTCCAAGGTTTGTGGTAAAAATGTTTGTAACATGTCCCATCGTGTTTATATACCCACTGCGCATCCCAAATGAAGTGCAGCACCAGAAATGGGTCCTGTAATAAGTCCAAAGCCCAGTCCCACAATGGGCATGTATATACATCAAACATGAGGTCTTCTCGTTTATGCTTGGTCGTAATAGTATGCTTCTCAAACTGTAAAGGTATTGGTAGTTACAAAAGGGAAATGTGGCATTCTCCTCTTACAGGTGTCATCTGGCCAGCTGCCCTATCCCAGGCTACAGAGACATCATGGTGGGACTTGAAGGTAATATTTGCTTGACCATCAACAATTCTCCAGACAAGTTGTAATAGCGCATCTGTGTGGTCCTTGTTAAGGGCAGCATTGTGCGCAAGTTCAGCAAATTCAAAGTCTGCATGACAGCTGAATGGCTGCCAAGGTTCTTCATCAACAATAGGTGGCTGCTAATCTTGCTTGCGTCCAAATGTAGAGAAAGTCTCGATTGAGGTTGCACGACCAGATTTCAGGTGATACTCCATCTTAAATGTATCGAGATCAGAGTGAACCGAAGGCGCCACTGAAAGCAAGGATAGAGCAAGGGGTACAGGAGCGTGAGATGCCATGCTGGAATCTGAATCTGCACCTGAATTGTGAAAAAAATGGATGAGGAGCACATTGTGATCAGTCAAAGTACATACATTGCCGTGAGTCTCCACTGATGCTCGTCACATCAACATCTGGTACCGTTTCAAATGACGAGTCTGCACTAAATTCATTGGGTGCATTCTCTGTGTGATCCTGGAGTGATGTTGAAGGGTCTGACGACAGGGAGCCAATATTATGTGTTGTGGCTGCTTGTTCCTTGAGAAGACGCTTTCTCTTTTGGCATGCCTCTGATCATTGATGATTGTGTGATAAGAGACATTAGTACTGTTACTTTAAGTCGATAGAAAGACAATTCACCACATACCTTTCCTTTTTATTTGCTCCTCAACCACCTGTGCTGCGAGCACTGCAAACTCGTCATCATTCTTCTTTTTCTCTCATCTTCTCAAACAACTTTTCTCGTGAGACCATATCCCACGAGATGAGAATGACTTATTGCAGTATTGACAATGAATCTGGTTGTTGGAGGTCGAGGGTATATTTAGTACATTTACAGTATACTTGTGACGTCCCCTGGCTGGACTGTTTGTGATGCTTCTGCTTGGTGCCATGCAGGGTGTTGTTAAAAATACAGACACAGAAAGGGAGGAGACGATACTGAGAAGATGGTAGAGGCAACAAATATTATGAGTCAGGTTTGTCGACTCGACATTAGCATCATTCACTGTAACTTGTTACAGTAACGGCAACTTCCGATGAACTCAGATTCTGAATCAGTCTGAGTCATATGCACCGAAGCAAATTGAAAGCGCCAAAAATCCTTGTAAGTGACACATGCATCCTTTCAAGCACCCTAAAATAACTCACACCCTATGGGAATATGGATGCAATGTAGTTGTCAGGCATCAAATTAATGTTCCAATAAGGAACACTTGCAAGGCACCCCTGGAGATTTCCAACATGTGTCTCACAGCTAGCTACCTTGTGGGTGCAATCAAGAACCTCATTGGTGGGTGCAGCTCATTCAATGCATTGATGGCTCATTTCCACAGCCTCTTGGACTCAAGCTTAATAATGGAGCACAAGCAGGACTGGGCACAGTTGATCATTGTAAACAAATTCAAACATCCATATTGTTTGAGTGGTATGAATATTTGTCCAAAACAACTGTATTGATTGGCTCAGAACTAGATATTGCCCCATCAACCATGATACCCAAGCAAAAGCAGAAACATGACTCACTGCTGTCGCGATGTGCCACTTGGGCTGCTGGTTCAATTTTCAAGTGAGTCTGACCATGGTATGCAGACTAAGTCTTCATTTCCATTCTAATTTGCACAGGTAATGCATTTGGTTGAATCCTGACCAGTTCATACTCACAGCATCATGGCCACAAATCATTCCAAGGCAGTAATCTTTAAATCCTTTGCAATTTTGAAGCGGCATTTGACATGCACTGACAAACATAGATGCTGCCAAAGCAATAACAATGGTGAGGAAGGTTAAACACATTTTCTGTGTGAGTGATATGGAATGTTCTGAGGGGATTCTCAAATAAGATGGGGGAACGTTGTATGTCAACAACTTTTATATCCTGCATATGGGTATGATTCCAATCGATTTGGCAAGATTGTTATTGCTGTGAGATTGCAGAAATTTTGGTAGAACCTGCAGGAGCATGCTCAATTACAGTCGTTCTCGAAAGTCTTGACTCACGTGTTTGTGGTGGTTCAAAAATAGTAGAAATGTTGAGAATTCAATTAAATCATTTTCGAGTTGTATACACCTCTGTACACCTTCAAACATGTCATATCGCACAAGATTCTCACTCAGGCTCACCATGGTCTACCAAAGGATCAGTCCTGATCGAAAAGAATGAGCTCTGTACCTGCTTTTGGAGGAAGGATGGGAGATCGAGCACATCACTGATGTCCTTGGAGTGTTGTCAAGAAGTATAGAGCGGGGAGAGGCAAATCATAATGAAAATGGATGTGCTAATCCTCATACACCAATCATGGGCTGCCCTCGCTTGTTGGATCAAATTATGAAGGATGAGATCTACGAGCTGCTAGCCAAAAACCCATCTCTACTACTTAATGAGATCAGCAAATGGCTCACCATATATCATGATCAACCAATATCCACACCAGCTCTTTACCACAACCTCAGGGACCTTGGACTCACCTACAAACACTTGAAGAGGATAGCGGCCGGATGTGATGACAGTTTCTGAGCTGATTGGTTGCACAACATGACAGCCAACTATACAGCTGAGCAGCTTGTGTTCCTGGACGAGTCAAGCAAAGATGACCGCACCGTACTTCCTAGATATGGTTGATCTCTTAGTGGACAAGCCCCCTTTGACAGTGTCCGCTTAAACAGGGGTATTTGATACAGTGTGCTGCCAGCTCTCACTATTGATGGCTATCTGACTGTTCGAGTCATTGAGGGATCTATAGATGGTGCGGAGTTCTATGATTTCATTGTTAACAATGTGGCAAGTGCATTCTTTTCACATCAAGGAGAGCTTCAGCTTCTGTATGTTCAAACATGCTTCATCTTATTCTGTCACTCACTTTCTCTATAGTAAAGAAGTGGCTTTGAAGGAATTGGAGGGAACTCCGACACAGCCAATTCCCTGAGCAGGATCTTCGTGAAGCTTGCTTCAGGGCTGTGAATGCCAAAAATGTGCAAGGCTGGTATAGGCATAGTGGCTATCTGTAGTACGATGGATGTATCAACTGTGGTGTGGGCAATATTACTATGTGGAGTAGACAATAGCTGCATGTATGGGGTTTGGATATCTACAAGGGTCATATAAGAATCTTACCAGAGTTTAATGAATGGTAAATGTGCAAATAAACAGCAGGGTATCACATTGTAGATCTCAAGCTAGACAGCAGGCCTTGCCGCTTTGTCCTCGTCAGAACATTCAGATACTGTATAAGACATAATTTAATGTTCAAAAGAGTGTCAGTTATGCTTTTCCACTTGAGTTTGAGTGAGAGTGTGGCAAGTTTGCTGAATTTTCGATTTATTTGAATTTTTCAGCTTTTCCACTATTTTGAACCGCCACAAACACATGAGTCAAGACTTTCGAGAATGACTGTAATTACGAATCATTTACGATCATGCCACATTGTATCATAATGCAATTGACAATTGTACATCAGTGCAAGTACAAGATACGTACACTTGTCAGGAACGATGTAAAGTATGAACAGTAGTGCTTAGCTAGGATTGACATGCGGAAGAGTCCATATGCTGCAAGAAGCCTAGGAAGTCAAGTAAGTGAAACATGTGGCATCGAAAGTGGATAGCACAAGAATGGTACTGAAGCCAACATACCCAAAGGACGTGGTAATGCCTTTGTCAGGATTTCTGCGATATTCCTGCGAGATGGCAACCAGCTATTTGGAAAAAAATTTTGATGTACTTGCAGAATCAGTAGCGAATGTCAGACTCACAGATGTGAACCCTAACTTCTTTGGATCAGGAGATACTTGGCACCAATGCTGCGCCTGCGTTGGTTCAGACATACAGCATGCCACAATGCTTTCTTTTGGGCCGCATGTCTGCAGGTCTTTGATGTTTGATTCATCATGTTCTGTCAGCTAGATCACTGGTCGTTGGTCAGGATTTCAAAAAACTTGTTCGGATAGCTTTTCAGAATATTGAAGTACCTCTACAACACTTTGGATGGCCATCATGGCATAAATACTAGAGGTAGCACATATATGTTATAATGTTATGTATAGCAAGAGCAAATGCTACATTAATACTCAAAGTAGCACTGATATAAGCTCAGTCTGGACTCTGAATCTGCACTGGAATCGCACCCGCGAGTCACTACAGTGTACGCATACCTTTTTCGGCATGTCAAATATGCTCGACATAAATTAGCTACTCTAACGTCAAAATTCTGTCATTTTCAATATAAAATACTGCAATAGACTCAGTTTTATATATGGAATATAACTTGTTGAACAAGTAAACACAATTCTAAAGTTTGAAATTTTCGTCATCAAAAATTGAAACAATGCCCCCCAAAACTGTGTTTTAGCGCTGGTAGAGGGCCTGTAGGGCCTTCGGGTGAGTGTAAACGATGTTTTAAGGGATATATACAGACCCTGAAATGTATCTAAGACTCCATTGATGGAATTATTTTGCTCGGGAGTCCGACACAGTGGTGAGACTTGTATTTGTGGACTGCAAAGGTTGTTTGATATGTTGACTAACCAGCCTGTCGCTTTGCTTTGGCTTGTGCAGAGACTTTATTGGAGTACAGCGTAATAGTAAGTATGGGGCAAATCCAAGTGGACTAACAGCTGAAAAAAAAAATCAATCCACATTTTGAAAATTGAAACATGGGCGCTTAATTCAAGAAAATTAAACTACGTGTATTTTTAAGCTAGTTAGCCTTTAGGAAATATCCGATGGGGTTCTGAAGTCCAAAAAAACGTAGTGCGGAGGAGTCGAAAATGTGTTGCGTGCACTGTAGTACTAAGATTGATCTCGGACGACTTGTCTCTCACTTCGATCAAGCTCATCGGTCTACTTCTGTACAAGAAAACGCCTGCTCAAGGTGTGTTTCGCACATGGCTTTCTGGAAAATTATTCGAATTTGCACCTGCAGGCAGCAGCACAGTGACTTGTGTACTCAATCCCTAAGCTATTTTCGTTGAACTACAAATGGCAGACTGCTCTTGTCGTATCCTCACTCTATCTTCTTCGAAGGATGATACCTTGCAGTTTCTGCAAAGCACGTTTGTCGCTGCAGTGTGGTCATTTCTTGCATTGACAAGTCAACACAGGACTGGCAAAAAGTGACCTCCCGATAGTAACCGACGATTCATCTATCATCCCTTGGACTATCACGAACAAGTACTATACTGCTGACGTGCACTTTGAATTCCATCATCTCCCACATTGGATACCAAATAATCACGAGTTGGAAAGTGTGCCCGCCTTGGTGTACACATGGACTGTCGGAGAGGCAAGCACTCAAAGGCTTGCTATAGTTTTTGTACGTGCCTGACTTTTGAGCAGCCATACCGGGAGAATGTCCAGATGATATCACAACGCCTATCACATCATGATTTTGAAGTATCTCTTGCCATTCGACTTCCATCTACTACGCCCGGACGTGAAGATACTGAAGATGACGAGATAGACTCATTTCTTGGACCCCTTGGGGTTTGAGTTCGTCGACGTGCAAGATTTCGGGAAATCTTCCGCCCATCATGTTCATGGTGGTAAGCATATGCAGTTCTGAAACATGGAGACCCGTCCTGAGTTCTACTTCCAGGAGTTTCCCGGGCCATAGATGCCTTGAGCACGATCATGTGGCCCTCCATGGTACAAACCTCAAAAGGAAGGGGTCTTGGCCTCTTGGCGACGAACCGTGATATGGGAGAAGACCTCAGCAGCCTCATCGCTACGCGCTCCCCAGGAGAGCGTGATCGCATGCAACGAGAACTCGAAGAGTTAGAGCAGTGGCTCGATGAAGATAATTTCGGGGGCGATCTTGACGCAAGTGAGAAAAACATAAGCAATGATCCATGGAGCGCCGCAGCCACAACCGCCAGCTCGTCACCTACAGAGGGTTCCCCTACCCAGGGCCCCCACAACCACACATTTGACGATGATTTCACCGCTTTCGTGTCTGCTTCAGCGTCAGCGGCAGATGTTGAAACTCAGTCTGCACAAACATCTTCTGAGAGACAGATCCCACCTCTCCCTTCGTTGAGCTTCAGTTCAACGTTCACTTTCGACTCTGGTTCTGATACCTCCGGACGATCGACGCCACCTAATGAGGAACACGACTTTTCCCGCTTATCCGCGAATGACTCAATTGTTGGTGTATCTTATAGGTCTTTAGGGTCAGTTTCCGATTTTGGGGACCCGGAAGTAGAAGAATCCCACAAACGTGAAGACTCTGACGACGAAATGCCTTCAAATTCTGAGATTGCTGCTACCTCAGAGCGTATCTTCGGTGCAACGTCTCTTACTTTCTCACCCACTGATGGAAATAACACCTGTCCGCTGCAAGAGGATCTTTTTGTCCCGTCTGAAGTCGAAGCCGCCGACGCGTCAGAGACAGACCTCGAGCGTTTCGACCTGCAAAGCATGCTGAGCGCGCTTCAGGGTCTTAAGGAGGAAATTGCGGGAATGCCTGACTCGCAGGAACGTAAGAGAGCAGCTGCTAGAGTGGCGTTAGGTTTGGTTTATGGGCTCAATGGAAATTCCGATTGAAAGGTGCGAGCCAACAACACGCAATGACTTTTGCTAATTCGAAAGATAGTACTAAAGAGACTGCATGCACGGCTGGAAGGTTTTGTAATTATCTTACGCGACTAGTCGTATAGGCGCGTCCCGTGTAAACCGGTAGGCATTTTGACACTCCATCTTCCAAACTTCATGTTGTGCCGCCGTTTGCATACCCTCTTACGAGAAAATCGAGGCGAAATAACAATTCAGTGAGAAGATATTCATAGACCAAAGGAATACAATATATATCAGACTCCTCGTTTGAAAGCAGTTATACAACACAGCAAGGTGTGCGCGTTTTGACCTGATCAACCAGAAACACATACTCCTTGGATTGAGTTACTCAACATTCTCTTCGTCTTCTTTGTTGTCCCCAGTCTCATCCCGGACACCTCCCGACACAAAGCTCATGATACCAGCCATATCAAGCTTTTCCACTACGTCTTCCGCAATGCTAACGTCCATGTTACCCAGCACTTTGTTGACCTCATCTAGTGTCCCGATCTTGAGCGCAGCCTTCAGGTCCTCGGGGAAGCTCTCGAATACCTCCCATCGCATCTGCAATGCTTTGCGAACTTCTTCAACATCCAGGTCCTCCGTCCCTGGACCCTCGAGGCGTAAGTCCTCAGGCGGAGGACCATCAGGTACATTGAACGAGATGGTTGCAGATGGATTCTCGGGCACAAGTTGTATCTGCTCCTTCTGCACGTCAGAAGTCTCCACTGCTGCCGCTTTTGCACGGGTCTTAAGGTGAGAATATGTGCCTTCGACATCCTTGACGAAGACGGAGACAGCGCGCTGGTCGCCTGAGATCATCCTACGAAAGCATCAAATTAGTATCTGTACATCAGGTTATGCAGGGATCAGGTACTTGCTTTTGGAAAAATAGTCGGACGCCATCTTTGCCCAGCTTATCGCAGTACTGCAGGAGTAAGCTTTGGTGCACGCATTTCTCTGCGTATTTGAACTGGCCCTTCGACTCTGCACGGAAAGCCGCCACAAGTAACGCGTCAGATGCACCGGGCACAACGACTTCACGATGTGCTTGGATGAAGTGGAAAGATTGCGTGTAATCCCATAACGGTAATCGAGAGAATTGTTCGAGAGAAGGTGTAAGTTCTGGTAGCTCCTCCTCTACCTCATCTTCATCAACAGAGTCTGGAGAATGTTTTGGAGCAACCGATGACGATGGCGCATTAGAACTCGAGGCAGCAGGATTCAGCACCTCGATCTCAGTGGTTTTGGTAGTCTTGGTCGTTGTCGGCACGTCGACTTTAGCATTCTTGACGGGTGGAGGCGGTGGTTTTGCGGGAGTATACTATCGGGAACGTTGTCAATACCATCAATGAAGACTAATAGAATGCCAATCTTACCTTGCTCTCGAATCCTTCGTGGATATCTTCACTTGTGATGTGCTTCTTTTGTTCATTCTCCTCGACATCAAGATCCTTCTCCAACTTCTTTGTGTGATCTGCGAGCTGCTTGATGTGCTTATCGAGACCGCTGAGTACAGCAGCCTCCCGCTCATCTGCAGGGAGGCTCTTTGCGCTATCCCAAACTTGCAGGAGCAGAGACAGTATCATCGCATCATAGGTCGGCTGATCTTTGGCATTCGTTGGCGGTGCCTCTGGAGATGGCTGTGTTTGCAACTTCTCCACCAGTTGTTGGAAGTACTTCAACCCGCCGTCTGCGCTGCCAAGTGTAGCGCGAATGCTGTGAAGACGGGGAGAAAGGACGCCATTGCATGCGATCTCGGCGCCGAGGGCTGAGATCTTGAGTTTGCGGGTCTCGCGCTTCTCATGAATATCGCGTTGCTTCCATCTGATGAGAGAACGCTTGTCAACGTTCGGGTGGCCTTCGATGTCGGAATCGTCAGAGAGCTCAAGCTGATCCCACTTGGAGTAGTTAAGTGGCATCGCGTCTTTGCTAGAAGATCCGGCTGGTCAAGGGGAATATAATATAAGGGGGATACAGGAAGGTTGGCAGTCCACGAATGTTCTCGAAGAACAACAGCGTCTCAGATAAATACAGCTTGTGTGATATACTAGTAGATCACTGGCGCTTGCCAGCAGTTGCCAATTCTTCCACCAAGTACTAGAATGCCATGGGCCGAACTTCCGAGACTGTCGTCAACGGGAACCTTGTTTTTACAGTGCAAAATAGCGACACTGGTAAAGATTTTATACAATACTACATAGCTTTGTGAAGAGGTCTGAGACTGTTATCCTTTAAGTACTTCAGGACTTCAGCGACGAACTTCGAGCATATTGATACAACAACACTTCGTTTGGGTGGCAAACAAATGTGCTTATAACACATTCAAGTGGTCGACCACGCCACGAAATTTTGAAAACGCTGGAGACATTATTTACGTACCCATTTTTTGCAATTAACAGAGCACGATGTATGCTGGAGTGGAAATGATGATATGAACACGGATACGAGCATCCATGCTTCATTTCAGATATATGCGTTCCTGCAGTTTGAAGTTCAATATGTAAGCTCATAATAGTCGACACATGCATTTTCCTTAGTAGCGACGGTGACAATGATGACGAGATGTGGACAAGGCAATGAGATTACTTCTTTACTTTCAGCAACTCCTTTGTGTCCTCTCCAGTCACTGTATAAACGAGGAATTTTTGAGCAGCAATCATCACAAAGCAAGCTACGACATACCATTCAACAAGAGGCTCTGGGCATCCAACATCACTTTATTTCCTGAGGAGGCCAGCATGTTAGCAATATCCCTCGCGGCCTCAAGCCGACGGAGTTCCAGGAATCCTTTGTTCGTGCGCATGGCTTCGCCGATCAGCTCGGCACTTTTCGCCTCACCTTGAGCTCGCACTATAATAGACTGCAGGAGACACATCAGAACTAAGACAAACCGATAATCGCTTCGAGGATATTACCTGCTTTTCTTGGATGGCCTGATCAACCAAGAAGGCGGCCCTCAAAGCTGTTTGTTGAGCGACCTGGAGGGGCAAAATTATCTTGGCAAATAGGATATGTATCAGATTACTTGCCTGCTTGGCCTCGACAGCATGCGTAAACTCGGGTGAAAACGCCACATGGGTGATAGACACATCGTCTAGCACCACATTAAAGCGCAATGCACGATTTGTTAGGTTCTCGCGAATTAACCGGGACACCTGACACAAAACCCATCGTCATTTTACCACACAGCAGCAACTGAGAATACTCCGTACCATCTCACGTTGTGTGATAAGCTGACTTGCATTGAATTGTGCGACCACGCTTTTGAGAACTTCGTTGACGATAGACGGTAGCACGCGCTCGTCATAGTCTTTTCCTAGTTCACGGTATATTTGAGGCAGCGCCGATACAGCCGGCCGGGACAGAACTCTGCAAGTGATGTTAACCATTTGCAAATCTACAATTTTCAAAATTAAGCGGGTACAGGCATGTCGCAAGCTGCAGTCCTCACCTTTCGTGCCAGTCAAGCTTGCTACACTCCGAGGCTTTGCACGAATGTCGAAAACTATTGGAGTCTCGAACCAGGGAACCTGAGGAACGTAAGCAAACAAAATGCATTAAAGAGTGATACGGACCACAACATGTGTCCCTTCGCTGTACACCTCATCCTTAACACCCTGGAGACTGAAGCCGGATGAGCCGTCAACTTAGAAAACGCCTGACATAACAGCCCACCGAGTATATTTGATAGCTCTGTGACCACCGTCAACTTATTTGAGTTGTCAGAAACTGCTACAAAAATCCCGAAACGAGACACACCGTTGAACAAGCTCGCATTTAGAAGAAGTCCACCGCCAACCAGTGCAACAATAAGGCCTCCGCCTGCGAGGAAGCGACCTGGACCTCCTGGCATGCCACCACCGCCTCCTGACTGGCTAGCCCTCTTTATTTGTTGAGTGAATTTTCTGAATGCGTCTTGACTGTTCATGGTGTCGATTATGCCCTGAAGAAAGTTCAAAGCCTTGCTAGTGTACGTGCACACACCGGCACACGTCACGTGCTCATCAAATTTCAAATTTTACCAAAAAATCTTATCTTGCTAGTGTCTTTGATTCCTTCCATCTCCTTTGAGCTACCAAGTGATACCGTTCGTAACTCATCAATGTTCGGGGAAGCAAATGCAGCTAGCAGTGTCGTGCGTACTCGCCTATTATCTTAACTGACTCCTAGGCTGACTTTGATTTTTTTTATTGAAGTTTGGATGGATTTCAATAGCATGCTGGTCAGTGATGCAAAGAATTCAAGTCAAAAAATTAGAGTCATCTTGTATAACCTCCACAGGATTATCGTATATTCTCCTCAGATAATTGAGAATTACCAACTAGAGAGCGGGGAGGGCTTATCTCTCCTTTTTATCTATGTATGGTTGTTGGGTGATGTATGTAATCTTATGGGTGCAGTGATGGCCGGATTGCTGCCTACCGTGATTATCATTGGAGTTTATGTGAGTTTTATGTCTTACTTGTAATCTACCTCCCTGATGACACCCTTATCGGTTAGTACACTTTATGCGACACCACATTGCTTTGCCAAGTTTACTATTACCGATGGAAGCGGCAAACTGGGCGGCACGTTGTACCTGTGCACATCCCAGGGGAGGCTTCCGAAGAAACCTGCCTTATTGCTGATAGTCGCTCGGCGAATCCCCCCGAAAGACCAGGGCCCTCAATCACGCGAATTTTTGTGCAGTACCTAGCCGCTATCTCATTCGTATCAGCCACTGGTGTGGCGGCGTATTATATCAGTAATTGGCTTCCCAGCGATGACACTTCTCCAGCCATTCCAGATACGAAGTTGGATTGGCATATCCAGGTTATAGGGTGGACCAGCGCCAGTGCTTATCGTGCGTTTTTGTCATACCATGTGTGGATGCCTTCACTTACTATTCCTTGACAGTTGGTGCCCGGCTGCCACAAATAGGTCAGTATCATACACGCATAGCGCCAGTCCCTCTGTTCTGAATTTCAACGCAGTCAAAAACTTCAAGACCAGATGTGAGGGTCTTGCTCCTGGGTTATTTGTCTTTTCTATCATGGGAAATACGACATACGCATTATCTATTATTGTTGCATCTCGCGACCCAGATTATCTGATCAAGAATGCAAGCTGGCTAGCAGGTATTTACTCGTGACTTATGTACTTAGTGCATGCAGTTGACTCACCGCTTAAATCCTTTAGGTAGTGGTTTGACCGTCTTTCTCGATATTCTTGTGCGTCCAATCGCTCTCTGCCAGATGGGTTTCATTACTCAGAACTCTAATTCTCCTATCTTTAGGTGCTCAGCCAGTTCTTTTATTACGGATTCGTTTCAGGACAGCGAGGCTGGATCGATAGAGTTCCAGTGTAAGTGTATCAGTGCTCAGTGTTACTATTAGAAGACTGTATTCTACGTACTGTTTCCTAGACCTAGTAGAACTTTGCGGACAGCTGTTACGCTTGTATCTTTATTTGGCTGAGCTAACGGAGATGACATGCACGCTCGTGAAACTAATTGCATTGCCATTCTGCCCAAAAAAACGTCGAGGATATGGTACAAATGACCCATATCGCTGGATTTTGCAGTTCTTGTTAGCTGTGTGGGAAGGTTATTCGGATCGAACCAGGGACTTTGCACTTTGTTTGAATCTCACTTTGCCTCGTTGCTCTCCTCGTGTCCGAATTGCTATTTTGCCGCCGCACGTTGCAAGTTTCATCAAACAATTCCGGACGAAATGTCCCCCTGGGGTAACTCGATACAACATGCTCCTGGCCTCGTGCCAGTCTCAACGGACACCGCAAGTTTCCATTATTTCGCAGGTACATTCTTATCCGTGCGATCAACTTAAAACCTTTTAGTTCTCGTCGGATTGGGTCCCCATCTTTCTGTCTGGTCAATTTTGTACGTACCAGAATGATCGCGAATTCAGGCATGTCATATCTTAGCCATCGATTAACTGCGATGACACTTATGTGCACACGAACAGGTGGTGTTTGAAAACGTCCACGGCTAGTCAAGCCGCGTTTTGTTGGCAGCCCTACAACCACATCACCGTTTTTAATTCAGCACTTTTACGTGCGGTTGTTCAGCACTCATAAAGAGTTCAGTGACAACCACGTACCCATCGATCACCTCTAGCCATCATACTATATGATGCAGTGGCCATCTTTATCTCGCTCAGCTAGAGACGATACCACCACCACCATCGCTGATCGCCGTGGTACAAAGTTATCCGATGTGACTGCCGCTTTTCTTACTCGGCCATCTAGCGTATCATCCTCGACGTCCTCATCACCAACATCTCCTCCTCCACCTTATGAAGCAATTCATTTCCTATCTCAACCGGTTTCGCAATGCATTCCAGGTTTTGTCCCAACGTCGTCTGCCAACGGCAGATCGTCTCGTCATGAGAGCTCTGCGCTATGTGTGACACGATACAACGGCGACCGCTCACTCTCAGGAGGAAGTTCGACTTCGGGTGTATCCATCCCTCATTTGAGGGAGGCACTAGACTCCCTGGATACTCAGATGGCATCCTTGCTTAACCAGCGCCAGGAGCTAGAGTCGCACCTAGAACAAGTTGTTCGATCCCAATCTCCTATCCATCGAATTCCAGAAGAACTCCTTTCGTCGATATTCGTCGCAGGGGTGTGTAATATGGGAGAGGATGACCCACTATTAGTAGCGACCTTGATGTTGGTTTGCCGACATTGGAGGGACGTTGCCATCGACACCCCAGAACTGTGGGCGGATATCTGCGTGAGTCCGCACGACTCCATTGAGAAAGCGCATCGCAAGCTCGCACGTTCAAAGTCGGTGCCTCTCGACATCACGATCAACTTCACTCCTCGAGCTGACAATTCGAGCGGTGCCATGGAGAGTATTATTCATGCGATGGATCTCATTCGTCCTGCGCTTTGGCGAGCAAGGTCCTTTCGCCTCAGTGTTCCAAACAAACCACAGGCACATGCTGCCCTTCTGCGTTGTAGAGAAGAAGCTCCCTATCTGGAAAGTATCTGTATCCGCGTATTTCATTCCATGCAGGAAGACCATTACTCCAGCCCCTGCCTTCCACTTTTCAAGGGGCATACTCCTCGCCTTCGTTCCTGCTCTTTTACATCCTTTAATTTCAACTGGGACAGGAGAGTTGTATCAAACCTGCGTGTGCTCCAACTAGGGGGCTACTGGAACGGGTCTTCACCATCTGTCGACACCTTGCTAGACATTCTGCGAGGCTGTCCAGGTCTCGAAGAACTTGCCTTGCGCAATATGTCGGATGTGGATCCTGAGACTTGTGTTCCTCTCGAACATGAGTTTATATCTACGAAGGTCGTGAAACTCCCAAGGCTTACCAAGGCATCGTTCTATTACGCAGGCATCATGCGTACACGGATGCTTCTCAGTCAAATATCGTTCCCTGCGCTTGAGTCGCTCGACTTCTGCTACCTCGACAACCTTACACCAGTTTTGGAGCACCTTCGACAACAATCTCTTACTTCCCTTCCGCTCAAATATTTGCGTATCGAATCAAGTTTCTTGAATGAACCGAAGTTTATAATGCTACTTCGGCGACTTACATCATTGGCTACCCTGGAGTTGGTTGACGTAGAGGATATCACATGCTTCTTGTTGAAGGTGAGCATCCCCACGACCGTCTCATTGGCGCATATTTTAATCATTTCTCATCAGAATCTTTCTTCGCCGCCTGTGGCCCACCCTTGGGTATGCCCCAAGCTAGACCGTCTCAATCTTGACGGGTGCACTGCACTCGAATGGGACGCTCTACGAGGACTTGTGGAATCTCGCCTCTCTGGTCGCCCATCTCAACTCTCCTCTGCTTCGGCCGCAGCAGCTTCGCGCTCATCCTTCGTATCCACCGCGTCTGCCTCTGCTCATATCCATGCTTTGTCCCTCAGCCGTCCTGCGACGCCCACAATGCAGCCTCGTCGTTTGTCGTCGATCGATGTCACGCGCTGTCATCAGATCAGCAAAGAGATGGTGCAGTGGCTCAAGATGTACGTCCGCGATGTTCGCTGTGAGCCAGCAAAGGGGATATGGGGAGAGTCTATCCTACCCTAGTGCTGGGCAGCTTCACGATTAATATTTTTCACGAACAATACATACCTAGACTGCAAATACTTGAATTTGATGAGTGCTATGTGGATTTCCTGTACTGCTTGTATACTGTACTTATCGCGCACGATAGTGTCTGCACATCATGGCATTGTGTATGTAAAAAAAGGCTGTCACTTATTAAGACTTTATTGCTCGTGTGTAGTTTGTAGTTTTTCATGCAATTCACTTGAGTTTGATCTTTTAAGCTAAACTGAAGTCGTAAACTATGTGTTAAGATATGCGAGCATATGTTTCCTTTCGTTCTCTTCGCGCTTTCGTACCTTTGCAAATCCTCTTCGACCTCGACCAACCTCAGCTCTCTTCCTTCGCAGCTCCTCAGACGTCCTAATGTGGGATGCCAATGCCGCTTGGTTATGAGTAACCCGCTTCTTCGACTGCTTATATGGCCCCTCCGTTTTCGCCTTCAAACCAATCCCGAGGCGGTCAGATTTAAGTACCGTCGGAATAGGGGTCAACAACGACTTCTGTGAGTACGGATCAGGTTCTTTAGATGCACAGGACGTTGGAGGGAGCGGGAGGGAAAGCGATCGGTGGAAAGATTCAAAGTCATCATCTTCTGGCTCTGATTCGGATTGGGTGAGGTCTATGACGTCGGGAAGTGTGTCTCGAGATTCCTTGTCGTCGAGTGGTATGCTAGTGCTAGTACTAGTACTTGCCCCCGCATGCGAGGTTGACGCAGATGTGCGTGCTGGACGTAGAGATCGAACGGCGTGTGCACCGAGCCCTTCTCCTTCGTTCCAGCCACCCTTCTGTAGTAGACCGAAGCCTTTGTTGGATGGCCCTATCGCCAGCCAGACTGGAGGAACAAACCGTTCCTCCGATGGTAGTGGTGGTGGATCTCGTGCGAGGAGGTCCGCTAATGATGGTGCGGGAGAACTAGGTTTGCTCGATGGTTCAGACTGAAGCGCTCTTTTGATGAACCAGTTGTTCTTGGTTGTAGCCTCCTTCTTTGGTTTGGGAGCCTCGTTGGGTGTGCTTGACGATCTGGGTGTTAGTGGTTGGTTCTTCGACGTCTTAGAGCTATCTCTTGTCAGAGCTCTGTACCACTCAGAGGTCCCGTTGTCTGGAGCAGAGGCGTTCGAAGATACTGTACGGGTAAGTGAAACAGCAGAACCCCACTCATCGTATTGAATGCGCGCGGGAACAAAGGAAGGAGGTGGGGCACGGCGAGTAGCAGAGAAAGTTGGCGCTGCGTTCCACTGTTCTTCTTCGTCTATTGGAACTTGACCTGTCTCCTTCTCTAGCCGCTCTCTATCTGCAGGATCATAGTCCGAACGAATGTGATGAGCGACAGTGGCCATGGTTGTAAGCACTTGAGGACCGTCAGTGATTGGCTGGCTCTGACTAAGCAGACTCATCACCCCTGTCATCGCCACCTTAAAAACCACAGAACTAATCAATATCCAAAATACGCTGATTGAGCAGTTATTACAGAATGTACGTGCGAGGTGACAACAAATATATGATACCAGTGCTATGTCCACTAAATGAAATGAGAATGAGATGACCTATCAACCGATAGGCATGTTGGAACCATTATACGAGAATCCTATGGCAGACAGGGTGAGTCAAATTCCAAGGACGTCGTAATTGACATACCAGCGAACTGAGCTTGAACGGTGGATGAGAGGTGGGAGCCATCAACATAACTGTCGATAGGCGCCTCGGCCGTGAAGACAGTGTCGAAGTTAGAGACATCCTAAACGTCGACGCACTCAACAAACACGTCCTCCCACGGAGACATGCACTTACCACGGGACTTGACACACTTGGCTTGAACGGCGGTTGGATCTTTTTCTGCAGAAGCTTCTTGAAGTCAATGTGGTTTACGAAGAATGGGTGTTTCTTGATCTCCTCAGCGCCGTTCACTCCAAGTCGTTTCGAGGGATCTCTGTTGAGAAGACTGGTCAGGATGCTTCGGGCTTCTATGCCAATATCGGGGCCAAAAGTGAGGGGATCAGAAAGAATCTTTTGATACATCTTGTCCGTGACCTCTGACGTGGACGGTCAATGGCAGAGACACAAATACAGTGATAGGACAAACCATCATAGAAGGGTGGAAGACCAGAAAGCATCTCGTACAAAAGTACACCAAGAGTCCACCAATCAATCGACTTGTCTAAAATATATGGTCAGGAAATCATATGACAGGCGACGAGGCGGAACTGACTATATCCTTGACCATTCAGGATCTCTGGTGCAAGATATTCCGGTGTGCCACAGAACGTGTTCGTCGTGTCTGAGTCCTTCATGTTGAGCTTACATAGCCCGAAATCGCACAATGCGATGTGTCCAGTATAATCCAGAAGAATATTTTCTGGTTTCAGATCACTGAATTCCAATGAGCACAGCACAAAAAAGGAAGACGGTTCGCCCACCGGTATACAACGTCGAGCTCATGTAAATGTTCCAGAGCTAATAGCAACTCAGCACTGTAGAATCGCGATCGTTCCTCGTTAAACCGTTGTTCGCGTTGCAAGTGGTGGAAAAGTTCTCCTCCGTTGACAAAGCTAATGGGTGCAGTCGTGAATGACATCGAGAGGCGAACGTTGAAATAACCTTACGCAAGTACCAAGTACAGTTTTTGTTCGGATTGGAAACTGAATTTCAGAGGCACGATGAAAGGGTTGTTGACACGGGCGAGCACGAGCCGCTCCGCCAATGTGTGCGTGATTTCTTTTCGATCGACTATGTGAGCTTTTCGAATGGTCTTGAGTGCATATATCCGCGTGGTATCGCGCTTCCTGACTTGCATGACCTGCAAGGAACGTAAGTGCGACTATTGACGCGTCAATACTGCAACCTACCTTGCCAAAGCTGCCTTTGCCGATGACCGTGATGAGCTCGAATTCGTCGATAGTCAGAGATTGTCCCTGTCAACCTTGTTAGTCGCTCATAGCTCGAAACACGAAACCACTGACAGAGCTAGGCTGGTATGCCACACCAATTTGAATCTTTCCCTTGCCACCTGTCATGTCGTGCCACTGGTCTTGGCCCACAACACCAATATTATCAAAGTCCGGCGTGAACTTGATTCCGCCCATGAAGATATCATTGCCCATGTCATCCGCTAAACCATCACTGCCGACTTTGGGCTGTTCGGTTCTCAAGTAGCACTGTATTGAAATTTCTGAGTGGCGCGAGACATCGCTAGCAGGGAATTGAGGACGAATTATACGTGACATGAACTGAACGCTCACAACTGGGCCTGGTACATATACAGTGGTTTCTCCAGATCACCGCCCAGTGGGGTAATGAGGACTTGGTTGACTTCGAACTCCATTACCAGGTAGGGTAGCCACCAGCATTGGGTACGCTGGATACTGTCTTTGGCGCCATGACGCTTCACGAGGCGCCTCTGGGTTACGCTTGAGGGAGACACCGACGCGGCGACCTTGGCCTGTTGCGTGGATAGCGCGGTTTGGACAGCAGAAGGGATCGTGGTGCCTGCAGGAAGGGCCAGGCCTTCAGCCCATAGAACGCGTATGCTAAGAAGACCGGTCCGTGAAGTAGGTTTTCCCCCAGGATTGCTCGGTGTCGGAGTAGTCGACCGCGGAGGCTCGTCTGGGCATCCAGCAGACAAGGTGGCTGTTGAAGCTTTTTTAGTTAATTTGCCGAATCCCTTCAACATGGCGTCTTGTCGAGCAAATGAAGAAAATACTATATGGCTAATGTTTGAATTTGCACAGGAACGATGTGACAAAAGGACTATGTTACACTCGGTTTTACAGTTTATAGAAAGTCGGCAATCGCACGTGGCAAAAGTCGATTTAGGACGGGCCAAGTCGGACAACCGCGTCTCGAGCTTACAAGTAACATTATAACCCAAGCTCGACCACAATATATATAGGACTGAGCGCTAGACTTGTATCACATTGACAATGACGAAAGTCTTAAAATTGTACTTACTAACATTGTGCGATTCCCGATTGGCTCCACGGTCCCCTATCCAACACCCCTCTAACCAGCAGGAATGTGCAAGAATAGACTGGAATATCTAGCAAGCCAACGGCGTTAGGAGCCTTGCTTCTTTTCAACGCCAAGGAGGCATGTAATAGTAACATCCCGTCGGAAAACCCAACGCAGGACTAATACTTGAAGTTTTCCGACGGAAACTCCCTTGAACCAGGAAGACCGGATCACCGTTGGTGGTCCAAGATAGTGCAAGCACAAGCTTACTTAGCACTGATGTACGACACAAATTCAGGGAAGCAGTAAAGTGCCTGATGGGCCAGTCATTCGCACCTATATGCTGCAACGTTAACAGCAAGGGCAGGGCCCCGGCAGTCCCCCTGATTTAGGGCAGTTCGAAATGCGTTTTCATGATGGTCGCCAAGTCTCCGTCCCCTTCCCATGCATCGGTGGACTCTCATGAAGAGAGCATGACGTTCCACCAGTATTTTTAATTTTTGAAATTCGAATACTGGGTTACATAAGGTTTTCCTGCAAAAGTAGTACACCTGAACGTTGGCTGAATCCCAGATGATGTCGAGGCTAATTTTTGAACAACGATGAAAGGAAAAGAGCTTCGCGGTGTTTTCTATGTTGGTGATGGGCAAGATGACCAATACCTATCGGAAATTATATCCATTGTGATTCATAAGTCTAATGCGGGCGGGGGCTTGCTGGTAATTGTCCGAAAAAAACTTTACCAGATCGTAGCAAGTGGCGTCATGAGGCTAGTACGAGTCGCGCTTCAAGCGACTCATCGGACAATGCATTGGTAGCCGGAAGTATACCAAAAACGGGTTGCTTCCTTCTGCTTCTTCCCTGGGAGTGCGTGGCTGACTGACTCGGTCCAAATTTTCTATCTGTAGGTCAACATGAGTCAATGCTGTGTGTAGACTTTAGATAATGATTGTATTTCAAAAGCGCACGTATGATACCAGCCTTCGTTGGCGGAGATGGACGACGAATACATCCTTCGACGTCGAAGAGCCTGTTGATAAATTTGTTAAAGCACGAAGATAACAAGTTGGCATAAAGGGAAAAGAACCCGTATCTGACCCATGACCCCATAATATCAAACGGGGAAATACCTTGAGCACTACTAATCAGGACGGTCTCATGACCCAAGCAAGGTAAGTGGCGTCTGATAGCGGCGATCCTGACACGATATCATAGGATCTAATGCGAGGGGAAGATACATCGCCGCCCGTCAAGTTTACACTGATTGGCCCCGGCTCGAAGTTGATTGCAGCTGCTCAGTCAGTTGAGCGAGTAGTAACCGACGTTACTTACACATGTGAAACCTCTGAGTCGAGTGTCTAATTGACGTGCCTGGTCGACCTCCGATCGAAGGAGCATATCGAATCATGCCCTCGAATCGAACTACACTTGGAACTTGAATCTTGATACTCGTAGTCATTCAGGGCTAGGATTTGGGCGTAAGTGTGCCCACCTGAACTCTACTCAGAAAGTCGAGTCTGTAAAAAACATGTTTTCCAAGCTGTTGTCTAGCTCAGCTGCCCCTAGCCAGTCAGCACTAGTCATGGTGACCAGCTGCGCATTTAAACCTTATAATAATTGGTGCACGGTACTATACTAAAAATTTTTGGACATGAGTGTGGGAAAGGGCAATTGAAAGGTCCCAACGGGATTATGTAATCATCTTCGACTTATATGGATTTTGAAATTGAATGTTTTCGGGCCCGGTAAGAACTCGAAGAGGACTAGGCATGCTGATAGCTGCTCAGATTTTCGGAATAGTACCATAGTCTCGAATCCAACACGCGCAGCATGTCGTACAGGGTTTCACATACCGTGGAAGGAAACAGTCATATACCTCGTGGGTGTTACCTCGGCAGCCTGGGTCCCCTATGCCTCGGGAGCACTGAGATTGCAAAGATGACTAAATCACATTGACGTGACCGGGCCTTGCTGGTATATATCCAGAGATGCCGCAAGTCAGCGTAATGCTACAACGTTCCATTCCCGACTGAATATTAGACCCTGTCTAATCTAACAGGTCCATGCAAGTACGCCCATCCTCAGCAGCCCATTAATCGCGCTTCCTGTCGTTCTTCCAAGGTCATGTCAGACAACAACTTGTCCGTGCATGGCGAGAAGCGGCCTCCTTCTCAGGAATCTCGTATATCACAAATCAAGTCGAAGCCCGGGTTTTTTTCCCGGAACAAGCGTGCGTCCATCGAGGTCGAGAAAGAGGATCCAGATGATCGTGATGATGTTGCTGTGAATGCAAAGCTGGCGCAAGCCTCTCCGCCTGTCTCATTTTTTTCGCTGTTCCAGTGCGTTCTTTTTTACATTCAAATCGTCTCTCAACCCGACCTCTCAACAGGTTTTCTACCAAGTTCGAGATCACAATTGACATTATCGGCGTGGTGTGTGCGGCTGCTGCTGGAGCAGCTCAGGTGAGTCCGTCAATACCGAATCATCTCCTATCGTTTACGTATCGTCCATCAGCCTCTCATGAGTCTGCTCTTCGGTAACTTAACCCAAGATTTTGTCAACTTCAGTTTGGCAGAAAACAATTATACTGAATCGATACAAAGCGGCGATCCCACTGTCATTGCACAAGCTCAACAGATTCTGAACGCCGCTGCAGCAGGATTTCGCCAGAGTTCTGCACTAGATGCTTCGTATCTGACATACATCGGTGAATTAATCCCTGTCTTTCTATCAAACTGCCATTGACTGTGTGTACAGGTGTCGGCATGTTTGTGTGCACATATGTGTACATGACTGTTTGGACCTACACCGGCGAGGTTAATGCGAAAAGAATACGAGAACAATATCTTCAGGCGGTCCTCCGTCAAGAAATCGCTTACTTTGATGACGTCGGAGCAGGAGAAGTTGCCACTCGCATTCAAACTGATACTCGTCAGTA